TTTTTGCTGTTTTTAAGGATACCTGATGGTGAATGTTAATGGAGTTACTGATGTTATATTTGATCAAATTATAAGACCTTTTTTATGTTAATAGAATTTTTCATCTCTTAATATCCACAGATACTTATATTCAGACACAACCTGGCTGTTGTCAGGTTACAGCCTTTCTCCTTAAACAATCAAATAAGACTCAGCTAGGATTGCTGTTGCTGCTGGGTGATAAACATTGCCGCTGTTTTTTAGTATTTAACTACAGACAGGAGTGTTTAAACAAGGCTGCAATTAAAACCCTAGAGTTGGTAAAAAATCTCAGCCACCTTTGAGATATTACCACAATGAACATAAACTATGGTGTCCTCAGCATGCATTAAATTCAGTGGAAGGACAGAAGTAGAAAAAGGGTGATAAAGAATAACTACATATTTATCAGTACTGTAAAGATTTGTGTTATTAATGGAGTTTGTGAGTAAATAACCATAGCATAGAGGTGTATTCAGGACATCCAATATTGTGCTAAGCCATTACTTAAAAGGACAGGACAGTTGCTGAATGCTCCAAAATCTTACTTTAAGAGTTCAAGAGTTTAAGAGTCCAAAAGTGAAATGATACTATGAAGATGCTGGTGAAGATTCTCAGTCATCCAAGTCATAGTCATTCCAACTCAGTTAAAAAAGTTTAAAAAAACAAACAAAAAAACACTGGAATTTGTTTTTCAAGTTTGAAGATGTTTCGCTTCCCATCCAGGAAGCTTTCTCAATTCAAAATAACCCTGGTGTAGGGTTTGAGTTCCGGGCTTTTAGAGTGGCACAAACAAAAGCCATGTTATGGCTTAGAAAACCTGCAAATTGAACCGATACTATGAAGACATTTCACCACCTTTAAGATTTCCCTCTGCTAACAAAGATGAGGCAAAGATGAAGGTCCTGTACTTGTTTTTGCATGTTGTAAATGGGGGGTTGGATCACCCAGACTGATGATCAGAGTAGGGAGGCTAAGGAACATGCTTTTTGCAGAACAACTCAGCATTTTATTCCACTTCAGAAGCATATTTGCAATCTTGCTTTTTGAATGGGTTTGGAGGCAGCAGAAGGACGGCCTCCTCTAGGTTGCCAAACACAAATAATTTCTTTAAATCTATTTATTGACATGTTAATTTACATTACCCTGACCTTACTCGCTGTGGTTGTACATACACATTTTTTTTATTTTAAAATTCAGGATGGATTATGAAAATAAACTTTTTCATCATATAATTGACTAAGACATGCATGTCTTATATTATTTGAATTCAAAAACAGAAAATAAAAGTAATAATGAAAATGTTTCCTGTCTGAGGCCCCAATCTACCTGAATCACTGGGGTCCCATTGATATAGACAGTGTTGTTGTTCACCATCTCCACAATAGCCACACCCAGGTTGCATCGGATGCCAAAGGAGATGCAGAAGCCCAGTCCGCTCAGGATAGCGATAATGTAACGCTTTGGCAAACCCCCACAGCTGCAGTCTAGCAAAGGGGCAGGAAGGGCTGCTGACGCCACGGGCCGGCCATCCTCCGTCAGTTCCAAATTCTCCTCTTCCTCTACATTACTACCATCTATTTTCCTACAGAGAAAACAATTAAACTTAGGTATTCAGCTTGTTGCATTTTTCTGTGACACTATTGTTATTTTTTGTGTCGTATCAAAGTATGTTAACAAAAAGCAGCAGACAAAGAGTAGTGTAGGTGTAAGATAAAGATCAGCGATCAGATCATTCTTCTCATGTAATCTACCACCTAAATCAACCTCTCTGTTCGCAAATGACAGCAAAGGACGTCCATAAATACTGAGATATTAACTAGCAACATCTGACACCAATTTAGGGAAAAAAAGAAATGAAAGAAAAAGCCTTAATGGACAGAAATATGTATTTATTTGTAATACTGAAAATATTTGCCCTGTTCTCAAACATTTAATTTCTGGTCCAGGATCTGATATTTACAACAAAAAATAGGGGAATTACAGTATTAAAGAAAATGTAGACTTCATTTTCACCAGGGGTTCCAAAAATGGGTTTTTAGCATATCAAATAGATAATACAATAGTCATCACATTATTAATAATCATAGTGAGTGAATTATGTAAATATTAATATTTCTACAAATATTACTATTATTATATATAAAAAGAAAAACAATTTAATACTACAACTACTATTTGATTAATTGATTGATTGAGTGAATTTATTTCAGGCAATTTCCCCCATCAATAGTTTAAGAAAACATACAACATACCTATCCTTTTTTTAGTTTAACATAAATGTAATTAATAAAACAGACAAAATTTCCAGTTGAATAAATAAAGGTATTTATGCCTTCACGTTTTAATTATATATATATATATATATATATATATATATATA